CGCTAAGCAAACGAGCCGAACACGAACACACTTTTTGAGCTCGAAATATAAACGAGCCGAGCTTGGGCTCGCTCGTGTTCGGCTCGTTTACACCCTTATAGACAAGTCACCACCATCGCCAGACTGTTGTTTTCTGACTGCTACCATTGGACTGCAGCTGCTCTTCTCTCATCATTGAGTCGCACCACCTCTAGACCATCGTCGCCGCTTCATGGCCACAAACAAACAACAGTTGTCGTCACCAGACTGCTGCTACCTTGTAGCCACCGTCAACCTCCACCATCGCTAGACTAATAGTGTTTGATCATCGCTGCTCGACAATCACTATTTTACTGCCCCCACAACTATCGTTGGCGTCACTGTTGTTGTCGAGTTGTCGATACCAAAGACACTGCATCATATTTCTTGACACATTATTTTTACCGTAGGCTCTTTTTCATGGAAGTTGTGTAGTTGCCACTTCTTTAATCCTTTCCATCACTTCTCTAATGAAAGACACACCTCACTTTCTTTCAGTTATTCAGTAACCATGAAAATCATGTAACTTATAACGACATAGTGAAATCATTTCAAATGAGTTAAATTTCGTGTTTCTCCTCTTTCTAACTATTCACGTAAAAACTCATGATGTCTTCTCTGACAATTTTTCTTTACTTATATGTGTTAGATCTTCACGTAACTCTAAGACGCTAATATATCACTCTATAACCGAGAATTTACTAGCACCTAACAACATTATCATAATTTTTAATGAAAATAGTAAGATTACAACAGCATTAAATCTATATATCAAGTTTAAATTGCATTAAATATATTTTTATGAATACATTTTAACGTGGTGTAATATCAAAATATTAGATAAATGTAAAACTTTAAATGTTAAATATAACAATTTAATAAAATGTATATAAATCGGCCTATAATTTAAAATTTTAAACCAAAAAATATTATTTTTACTCGCGCGCTCGCACCCGGTTTGTTAGAATCTCCAGCACCCCCAACTGTCAGATCGCGCAAAAACGACTCACCTATTAATCTACGCTCCCCATTTCCACCTCCTATGAGAGCAGAGCCTCAGCTCCCTGGAGAGAGAGAGAGAGAGAGAGAGAGAGAGGGAGAGGGAGAGGGAGAGGGAGAGAGCTCTGAAGCGTCTCAGGGAAAATTTCGGTAATTATCCAAGACTAGCCTTCGTAGCTGAAACTTTCGGCGAAAATTCTGATTCATTCTTGCTCAATTTCATCTGGTTCTTTGATCTTCCTAGTTAAGTTTTCTTATGGAATTAAGAGTTCGCTATCTTTCCTGAGCAAACATCAATGACTATGGCGATCTTCTTTTAGCTAGTTAGTGGTAATCCGATTTCCAAATTAAGTTGAGCTGTTCATTTTCTGTCGTTTGGCTCTGAGATTTGCTTCTTAAAGAGTTTTCATGGAGGAGTTTCGAATGCCACTTTAGTGGTAGATTTTCAGTTGTGAGATCGATCTGTTGTCCGAGTCTCGGTCTATCTTCTTTTTGCTTCTTTCGCTTTGTAATTCTCGTCTTGATCGTCGGCGATTGAAAATCAGCCATATTCTGATCTTCTTTGAAGCTAGTAATTCTTGCTTGTTCTGATATCCTGGCCAAGATTGAGACCTCGCAACAGACAAACCCACCCATTTTGACTAGATTTTCCATCCCCTTTCTATACTCATTCCGATGTGGGTTCTGATCTCATTACTAAAATTGAACACTTCCTCGTCCTGCTGCAGAAAAGATAGCTTTGTTTTTTCTTCTCAGAAAGAAGATGGCAATTCGGGCGCTTTGCTTGCTCTACCATTTATGCTCGTCAGACATCAGAATTTTAAAATACGCTCTCAACTCGATGTGTTTTCTGTGAAGATATATATAATGTAAGGCGCGGAAGGTTGCCTGCGCTATGCTGCGAGACTAAGAAGGCTTCCCTTTAAGCCTTTAATTTTGAAGAATGTTATCTCAATCTTTCGTAATTTCTTTGATTACATTTCTTCCACACAACTGCGTATAGAGTAACCGTATTCTTCAACCTGTGTTTTCTTTATTATTTCTATTTTTTTCTTGTGCATTCGGCCTGAAAAGAATGGTGGGATCGCGGAGATACATATATTTCCTGCGTTTCAGGGGATCTGCAATGGCTTCTCATTTTATGTCTCCTTGCCTTTTGTGCGAGGGTGTTTACCTCCCGCTAATCGCTATGATGTTTTTTTACATTTTTAATTTTATTTAACTGAATGGCAGATAAAGTACTATTACCTGAACGGAAATGAGCCAGTCCAAACGAGTCTGACAAGCCACTTTTTAAGCAGAAAGATGCTGTACACCGCCGATTCGCCCCACGCATTTCCCTGCACGGGTTGTTTCTCTTGGCCCTCTCCTATGCGATTGTCTGCGCTTTTTTCTCTATCTCTGTCACTTAAGATTCAATTGGTTAGAACAATGTGTTTCATCTAAGAGAATGAATTCTTATTCGTTATTTGATTTCTTCTAATGGAGTTTAGGGCGTTACGAACCTGGCTCGTTCTACGAGATTGATCACGAAAAGCTGCCCCCGAAATCTCCGATCCAGCTGAAGGCAATACGAGTAGTCAGGGTTAGAGTTTGAGTTTCCTTTGTCGTGTTAGCGGAGCTCTCGAGTGCTTTTCTATCTAAGGATGCTTGATTTTTATTTATTTACATTCTGTTTTCAGGTGAGCGAGACGACGTTACAGGGGGTGACTGTGAGTTTTCCTAGCACGCTATCTTTGCGAAGCTACTTCGTCGCAACACAGATTGGGATCTGCTTCCCGGAGCTGGACGAGAGGTTCGTAATGAGCTCGAACCAAGCTGTGCGGATTCTTTGTCGGCGGATACCCCCTGCACAGGTGGAAGCGGGAAAGTCTCTGAAGAGCTTCTGGCTCTTGGCTCCAGCTTCAGTTAGTGAGCTGCCACTCGTTGGACCTGAGGAAGAGCAAAAAGTAACCATGCCGATGAAATCGATAGGATCTTGTCACCTAGCTCTCAAGTGCGAGGGGGAAGTTGGATGGGGGGTAAGGAGAAAGATTAAGTACATTGGGCGGCACTACGAACTATCGGCGGAGAAATCGGAGGCTGAAATGGAGGAGCAACAAAGCGAAAATGGGAGGAAGAGGAATCAAGAGGAAGTGCAGAAGACGAATAAGAAAAAGAAGAAGATCGGTGCAAAGGAAACTAAGAGGATAAAGATCGAGCAGGAGATGGAGGGAAGATGCCCTCGGGGGACAAAGGACCGCTGGTCTGTGGAGAGATATGAGGCTGCGGAGAAGCGGCTGCTTGAGATCATGAGGGCGAAGAAGGCAGAGTTGGGTAGGCCTATACTAAGGCAAGCACTGAGGGAAGAGGCAAGGAAGCACATTGGCGATACTGGTTTGCTGGATCATTTACTCAAGCACATGGCCGGCAAGGTTGTCTATGACGGTACTGAGAGGTTTAGGCGCCGTCATAATTCCGAGGGTGCAATGGAGTACTGGCTCGAACCGGCTGACCTCGTGGAGGTCCGCCGCACAGCCGGTGTTACTGATCCTTTCTGGTTCCCACCGCCGGGGTGGAAGCTCGGGGACTCCATCTTCCCTAACTCCTGCGGCCCCGACTGCAAACTTGCCATCGCTGACTGCAAACAACAACTCGCAGCGCAGTTCAAAAGGTCTCTCTTGCCCTCTCCGAACAAATTTAATAAAAAAGCATAAAACAAACTTATCATCAGGGGAATATTTAGTTGAAAAAAGAATTATCTTATTAGTTTCATGAATATGTAAATTTCGAATGTTCTATGCTTGTTATTTTTTCTATTTACCAGAGTTAACAGAATTCCTTAAAAGAAATATATAAATTAATTGTATTAATTCGAAGAGTTATAAATTCAACTTGACTGTTTATGATATCATCAAACATTTATTTAACATATCTTTATCATGCATGAAAGTATAGTAAATTTAAGGGATGCATATCTATATTATTAACTTCTTAAAAGTGAAATATACTTACATATACACAAAAATTGAGTGGTATGTATATAAATCTGAACCCCAACTTTCGACCAAAGCTATCCATGCAAATGAATCCAACCAGTTAATCAAGCTCCCATTAAAATAGGTTTCTTATCAATAAATGCAATAAGCAAATTCTTTCAAGTTAATAAGTGGTTTAATTTCAGAAACAGTTAATTGTTGTTGTTTTTCTAGTTTTAAACCTTTCAATGCTGTCGTCTCCCTCTCTGTTGTGTGTTTCTTTTGTTGCTTGCGCGCTTGTCTTACTGCCTCTCGGTACATTTTAATATGTTTAATTATATAAATATATGCTTGAATTCGTCAGAAAGCTCTAAGTCTTATTTCTTTTTCTAGGTACGACGAGCAGCAGACTTCACTGAAGAAGCTGGAAAAGCACACACAGAACATAAAAGCGGAATGGGAGAAAGCCATACACGCTTGGCAGGTGTTTTCCTTTTTCGCCTGTTTTCTTTCTGCGTCTCCTTTTTCTACTTCAACATTTAAGCTTAAATTAAAGGGTGTTTACGTACATAACACCCAATTCCTAAGTTCTTACATGAAAAACACCTAAATTTATTTTTTTACATTTATACCACTCAAATGTTTCACAACAGAAATTCCAATTAACTTATAAATAAAATTTAAAATACATCTTTTTCATGCATATGTAATGGAGCAAATATAGTCTTGTAAAAATTAATTTTAGGTGTTAGATATGAAAATACATAGAAATAGGTGGTATGTGCATAAATCTTAAAATTTAAATCCCAAAATTTTAAGGCAATCAAAGAGGTTCCAACCTCAATGTACTTATGTACCACTCTCTACATAAACAATGATTAGTGAAATTACTTTCAACAATATATTGCGATTTGCTTTAGTTAACGAGAAGTGGCATGCTTGGATTCAACTTCACAGGAGAAATACCAGACATTGCTGGAATGGAAAAGGAAGCAAGAGGAAGAATTAGCTGCCTTGCTCGATTGTATGCAGGAGCTTAAGGTGCTTTTCAAAATTTAATTTTGTTTTGTGTTTTCGTTTATCTCACTAAATCCCATGATAAATAGCTTGCATAAATCTTTACCAGTAACTTTTACCTTTTTTAGATATTTATTTCCTTGTCCCCGAGTTTCTATTTTTGATATGAGCGATTTTAAATCAGTTTGTTTAAATAATTCCTTGATAATTCAATTGGTATTTTGGCTCAATATTATTTTATATTTACATTACTAGCATTCAAACTCAACAATATTATGTTTTCAATGATTTATTTTTACATACCACACAATTCTTTTGTATTTACATATTTAACAACTAAATTTTCATATTTGCATAGAACACATTACTCTTTTGAGATCATAGATTTCTCTTATAAAGGTTTTTTTTTTGAGAATTTATTGCCAATCTTTATAAGAATTAAGAAATAATATCGTGGATTCATTTCGCTTTTTAAGAAAAAAAATTTGATCAAATTTAATCGTGAAAGCATCTCATTTCTTTTATCAAAAAATAAAAAAAATTTCTTTAACTACAAAAATTTGAGGCGAATAATCTTCAAACAATATCACAGAGCAAAGTTTCTGCGATGCAGGATGACGTACAGTTACTGAAGAGCCAGAAACACAAGGAAAGAGAGGAGCAGCTGAACGGATCGGCCAGTGATCCCCTTAACCAAAATGAGGTCAGCAACGGCAGCGCGGCCGGCAATAAAAAGCAGAAGAAGACAACCGGATTCAAGATATGCAGGCCACAGGCTACCTTTCTTTGGCCGAGCACGGCGGCTAGCAGCGCCGCGTCTGCCGATGAAAAACAGCACATGATGTTGTTCCCCGGAGGTGGCCCCCCATCTGCCTCCAGCTCCACCGCATCAACGCCGAAACTGCAGCTTCTGCCAGCACCAGGCCCAACATCACCACCCCGCCTGCATCCACTCCCCTCCGACCTCCCTTCAGATGTAGTGGCGGTCCCCATACATCATCCGCCAGACAGAACTACTCCAGTTTCGGACGCCATTATCATCCCTCGCGTACGTACCCCCACTAACCTGCTGCTTCTGCTTTTCTCTCCCTTCTTCTCCTGCGATTTTGTGGGGTCACTGCATGCTGACAAAGACGTACATGTGGTCGCGATGCAGTGCGTGGGAAGTAGGGATGGGCATCAGGATGACGCAATGGCGGCGGCAGGCTCTCCATGGAAGAAAGAGGCTTTTGAGTGGAACGGAATCACCACGGATCTGGTCCTCACCACCCCCTCTCCTTATCATTAGACATTTCTCATCATTAATTACTTTTTTCAATACCAACATTAGGGCATGGTTTCCATGGCGTTTGTTAATAAAGTTTGATGTTGATTTTCCTGATTATAGCTTCCAACCTTTGTTAAAAGGTTGGAATCAAATGGAAGAAACTTGGGTAGGTGTAATATAGTATTAATATGGTTTTGGTCTTTATAGAGATATCATACAAATATGATCAATATATGCATTATGGAAGTATAATCCATGAGTAGTGTGAGAAAGACTTCTGAGAAATGTTTGCAATAGCGATTTTTAGTATATATAACAAGTAGTCATTTGAATGACTCTAATATTGATATGTTCTATGAATACATCTTATAATATCTTTTAGTATTCTATGATGCATGTTTTCAAAGAGGTTTACTTGTTGAATCTGAAAAGTGTACATGCATACATGCTTATAACTTCAAATAATAATATATATAATATATGGATGTAATAAAAAATTGGATTTCACTCGCTTGAATGGATGGTTGCCTTTATCAAGAATATGAGGAATTGTTTGTGGATATATTAGAAATTTGAATTAGACTTTCTTATTTGAATGAATAATCACATCCAACACAATATGAGCAGCACAAAATCAGCAACAACATGTAAATTTTTTTAAATTTCCAAATAAAACTGTTACTATTTTTTAAAATTTTACTAGCGAATTAGTTGAAATATGGTTAGAAATTAAAACTTTGTTTGAAGGTGACTAAAACAAACTTCAGTGCCTATCTTTTTACGAGCTTTTCATATGTCCATTTCCTTCAAACTTCAAAGTTTTGTGGGTTCGTGTATTTTTCACATTTAAGTCAAGTTCATGTTATACACGTCAAGATATGTTCTACAAAATAAGACTTGGTTTCATCATTTTCCATAATTCCAGCAGGCAACACCTTCACGCAAATCCATGTTAGTTGTTGAATTTGACTTCTATTTTATTATTTTTAGTCTTTAACTTTATGAACTCTTATCTTTATATGGTTATTTAAACATTCATGCTTAAACATAAAGTTATGGAATAGAATAAAATAGAAGTTTATTTTGTTTCCAATTTTTTTTTTTTTAGAAGTTTATTTTGTTTCCAATTTTGTTTCCAATTTTTTTTTTTTTAATTTACAATGTTAAAATTTTTGTTCCTTTTCATTCTCGAGCAATTCTCAAACTCATTCTACATACACTTGACCTCTCTACTAATATTCAAAAGAACAATAACAAAAAGCAATCTATTTTGCTTCCTCTTCCAAACTCTTAACTTTCTTCAATCTCTCTCTAATAATACATATAACTTCTAAATTGTCTTGAATCCAAATTCCCAACATTATGACTCGCGACCAAGCCATTAAAATATCAATCCCAAGTCCTTTCTCTATAAACTATCCAAAATAGTCCCACCAAACATGTAGCTCTTAGCTTCAAAGTCCCACTAACTCCTTGCCTTTCTAACCCTACAACACATCTAGTACTCATCATTCATCACTTTTATATTATTACAAGAAAGATGGGTGTTCTTTCACCACAGTCCCCTTTATTTTGGCATAGTCCTAAAGGAGGCCACAATATTTAGATTAACCCCATGAGCCTATTATATAAAGTCAACTTTCATGATAACAAATTTACCGTAAAGATTTTATTTAATGGCTATTTGAGTTTCGTGTATGTACTTAAGAAACTTCATGGGAGATGGTATTGATGCATATGAAGTGTGCTATTATAATAAGAATATACTTCTTCTCTCCACAAGTAAGAGATGCCTAAAAAATAAAATCAAAGCAATTAAAAACTGATAAACTAACGCAAAATAGACAATCTTTATAAAAATTGAAGTAAAATTTATTATATTGTATTATTAATTAAGCTATAAATATGTTTTAGCTCTTTCTATTCATTAATGTTCGTGTCAAGAGCTAGCATTCATTCAAGTTTAAATATACTAAATCCCATGGGGCTATTTAAGGTCGGTCATTCAAAATCTATTCAAAAATCCATAACGTTGTCCTTAAACAAAAACTATTTATTCATCAAAAACCATTTTAGACTTAATTTTTTGGCTGGATGATACAAATCTATCATATTACCAAAAGGAGGCCAATGGATTGCCAGTGAGGAGTTAATAATAAATCTTTTAGAGAAGAGGAAAGGAATGAAATTGGAACCCAAATGGATCCAGTGTCAAAATGGGGCATAGATGTATGTATGTGCACGTGGATAGACTCCTATCTCGTTAGAAGGACAAGCCCCCCTTTGTCCTTATACATTATTCAGATTACATTTAAATACATGAAATAGTTGTCATTTATGGTAATATAAACCAAAATGAACCGACAAATTTGATTATATTCTTTTTGTTTAAGAAGACAAATTCTTTGGAATTATTAATAAAATTTATTTTTTGTTCAAAATAGCCCACTTTAATTTTATAAGTCTTATGAAGCTTTGATGAGGGATATTTATTTTAAATTAAAGGACCATTAATATATCATTAAGGTAAATTGAATGATTGCTAGGTAATAAAAATTTAGAGCATGGTTGACATATTATGCCCAATCAATATAAATTTTATTATTTACAAATTAAATGAACTGTTAAGCTTGTCTGGTTTATATTATCAAAGTATTATTATTATTATTGTTATTATTTTTTTTTACATGTATATTTCTGTCTAAAATCTCAACCATTGCAAATCTAGATAATGATTGAAAGATATGTTATTAATCCATGAACACTAATAAGTGTTAAAATTTATTGATGATCATTATCAAGATTTGGTTAGGGCAAATAATATAATTTTAGACTTGTGCAAGTATTGTATTTGTTGTGTCATCAACAAATTTTTATCAGCAGACATGAATCCCAAAACATTTTGAGCAAAAAATATTCCAAATAAAAATTTATGATCATCCAAATTCTATTTTCATGAAACTTATAAGCAATCTAAGCATATTCGCATGACTAAACCAAAGACTCTTCATGTGTGATGGAAGATCTGTGACCATAGAGTACGAATCATCGTTTTAGCGTTGTACAAGAATCCAATACATGCTTAGATGAAAGAAGATAACCAATAGGGATACCAAAAGTTTTTATGTGGAAAACCTTGAACAGGGAGAAAACTCATGGGGTCTAGCCCAACTGAAATAATTTCACTATGAATTGTGAGTGCACAGGTCCAATCTTCTTCCAAAATAGAGAAGATGGAGATAGAAAGTTGGTCGTTGTAAATGTACAGTCATAGTTCATCAATAATAGTTGTAGTCTGATTGTAATAAATATAGTTCTCATTTAAAATATAGGTTACAAGGGAAGTAGTCGATTGTTATGGAAGTAGTAGTCCACAGTGAATGTTATAAACGATGGTCGTAGCACCAGCTTCTCAGATAGACTGCAGTTGAAAGCCATGGTAGTGGTTGGTCATCTGGTAGCACATGGTTGGTTTAGGAGGGTCGTTGGCCACAGAGGTCATAGTAAGAAGTTGCAGGAGCTGTGAGTCATGTATATCGTTGTTGCTCACATGGGTTGTAGTGGTGAGTAGTAAAAATCCTTAGGCTGCAAAGGCTGGAGTCAGGAGATGCACCAGCTATGAACCACGTAGGTCATAATTGATCACATAGGTCACAGTGCTGAGTTGTGATGGCGTCCGTAGGTCATGAGGGTCGGCGTTGAGAGCTACATGAGTGTTATTGGTTCTTTTCAAAAACTCAGAGTCTTCGATTTCTCTATATATATATGTCATCATCGTATAATTTTTCTTTCCACATTATTCTCCTTCTAGGATCATATGAATATCCGAATGTCGGCACTATTTTTGGCGTGGGGTTTGCCCGTAAGAAGTTGTCGGTCATCGGAATTGAAATCCCGTTGCCCGCTTCGGAAGGACGTTTTTAAAAAATTTAGTTTTGAAAAAGATGAAGTCAAACTGACCCCATAATTTTCATAGTTTAGATGAAAGAGCACTTTATCTCAAATCATGTATCTATCCCGAAGGATGAACACAAGAATTGAGAGTGAGGCTCAATCAAATAAACTAAAGAAAGTTATGA